ATTCTTTGACCAACTTCGAATTGATGGTTACTGAGTTGATCGCGTTTAGTGCTGCTTGACTATCGGATAGGATGGCAATTTCCTGTTTTTGATAGTTCCTATCTAAGATAAATTGTACGCATCTTTCAATAGCGTAAATTTCTGCATGAAGGATACTGGGGTAGCTGCCCATACTGCCTATTGGTTCGGATTATTTAGTTTTCGGCCCAAATACTCCTATCCCTGTCCCTGCTTTATTTTTGGAAGCATTAGTATACCACGTTATGGTATGGTCTTTTACATGTTGTGTAAGTGTTTCTTCCTTCCCAATCCTTTTAATTACTCAATACTACAGTGAGGTGTTTCTCAAAGTTGTAAATTCTTGGTATGTCATCCACTGGGAGTTGGAGAATTTTTAATTAATTTGTACTTAATTTTGAACTAAATTTTTAATTTAGTACTAAGTTAAGTACAAATTAATTGCCCAAATAGTCTCATCAATGCCATTCAATAGACTCATAGAATACATAGAATGGTGGAGCAATTTACCAGGGCAGAGATAGGCGAAAAAGTTCATAGTAGACATTCGCAAAAATTCACGGCACACCTGATAAGCAAAGACAGAGAGACAGCCAAAACGGTAGTAGGTCTATTATAGGGCATTGTCAGCGTCTAAAGCTGATGGAATTGAAGGACGAAGCATGCACGTGCAGATTTTATCAATCTGAAGAACAAATGAAAAACAATAGGCCATTGAAGAGCTATATGGAGGGTTCAGTATCCAACTTGCTAGATATTCTGAAAAGGATAAGACTGGATAATGTAACCTAAGAATCAGAAGAGGAGTACAATACATCTGAAAAGGTCGTACTGGAACAAGCCGATGTGGACATCAAAAATCTAATTTCTAGACTATTTAGTGGTCTGTGTCAAGAAATAATCTAACCACTTTTCCCTAACCTGTAGAAAATAAAATAACACTCTGAATACTCTGAATAGAATGACATATTGGCAGATGGTTTATTTGAAATTGTAACATGCGGTTCGTAACGACAATTTAACACGAAATACTAAGTGTGTGATAGCAAATTATTCGTAAAAAATGCGTTTTTCAAATTCGGATATAGGGGAGGAGGGGGCACAGAGGACCGCTTAAGGAATTTTAGTGTACAAATCCACAAATTTTTTTTATTAAGAATAGGCAAACCTATTTGTGTCAAGTTTAGTGGTTACTTTATTCATTTAAGACCAAAAAAATATTTTAAACAAAATGAATTATTATTTACAATAGTTTTTTTAATATTCTGCGCTGGTCCTCTGTGCCCCATTGCTAGGGGGCACAGAGGACCTAGTGCTGGGGCACAGAGGTCCTAGTAGGGTGTGTTGGGATCATGCATTGAATAAACAATATTTGAATAGGATTTTCACAAAAAGACTGATAGGTTGCAAAAATAGTTTATAGCAGCTTAACAGCTAACAAAAAATATTATTCTTAATAATATATTTAAGAACATTTCAAACAAATAAATTCTGCATCGTCCTCTGACACTCCTGCGCAAACGTCATGTGCCCAACCTTTGCAATTTTGACATTGAATCCATCCCTCCCCTGTCCGTGATTCGCCATACCTACTGGGACAATAAATGCATATAGTGTTAGTGTCTTCTTCTTCACTATCGCTACTTGAAACCTCCACCACTTTTTTTTGCATGGTTTTCTTTTTTTTAATATTGGACTTTTCTTCTACATTTTTAGTAAGTTTTCTTTTTACACTTTTGGTATTTTGTTTTTTTTCTGCTTCTTTGGCCATAAGCTGGTCCTTGAATGGGGAACTTGTTAATTCTTCAGCATGCTGAGCTCTGCTTACCTTCTGTGGGTTTTGAGTTTTGTTTTTACGGGCATCTGACTTTGGCTTTGGAGAAATTTTTAGGATAGCATTTTTGAAGGAAGTGTAACTGCAGCTCGGTTGTGGTTCTTTGAATACGTTTTGAGGTTCAGGTTGGTGATCATGCTCATCTGAAACATTTTCGGCAGCGATCGGCCTCTCGGTTTCTTGCTGTACCGGGACGTCTGTAACTTCAGCGGGCAGAAAACATTCGTCAGGAAATATTCCATTATTGAATGGATAAATTCCTGTCGTTTGAAAACCCTTTATGGCTTTTTCCAAGGTGGCAGCATGAAGAAAAGCCTTTGAAAATATTTCTACGATATCATATAATGATACACGAGATCCAGGGTTATTAGTGTGCCATAAGTCACACTTCTTTGCATACTGATGTTTTAAAGACCCAGACACAGTGCAGTCAAGGGGTTGCAGGCGATGACTGGTGTGGGGAGGGAGAGAGACCATTATAATATTACTTTCTCTTGCTTTATTCAAAGGTATTGCGGCAAGCGTCCTATGACTATTATGATTGTCAAGGATTAATAATATTTTCTTATCGGGACCGGGTTTCACATGGTTAATAAAGTGATCTAAATACTTGACGAAATGATCGGAATCCATCCATCCAGAACCATTTGCATAGCCATTTGCACCTGGCGAACATCCTTTCATAAATAATGGGTTCATTCGCTGTCGGGGAAAAAGGAAAAACGGAGGGACGTAAGATCCTGTAGCTGAAATCCCACAAACTGCAGTTACATTAAACCCACGTTCAGTGCTCACTATCCGCCCAACCTGCTTTTTTCCTTTTTTAGCTAGAATTTTTCTGGGTACGGGCACTGAATTAATCCCAGTCTCATCAATGTTATATATCTGATCTGGTTGAATATTACTCTTCTCTAAAACTGATCGTACAACGTCAAAAAACTTTTGAACTTGGGGTTTATTAAATCCTGCAGCTCGTGCTATGCTTGTGGCTTCGGGAGCTCTAATAGAAAGTTGAGGATTTCGTTTTTTAAACCCCGCCAGCCAGTCACTACCGGCTAATTTCGCATTCTTATTAAATGGATGTTTCAAGCCCATATTTTCTGCCAGCTCAAACGCGAATCGACGAGCATGGAGAGGGGTTATTCCATAAAATCGCTTTTCTAGGTCTAGAATATGATCCACTAGTTCAGTTTCTTGTTGGTCAGTAAACACTTGCTTGAAATGATCATTTCTTGGTGTCTTTGGCATCATTTCATTATTTTTTCGGCGCAAAATACAGGTCTTAGGTATCTTAAAACGTTGAGCTGCTTGTCGAACTGAAATTTCGTTTCTGTTGATCATTTCCAGTGCCCTGGTCATACCTTCTTCTGACCACGAAGGCTCGGGTTTTTTCTTTACGTAGTTACGTACCATCTAAAAACAATATTTTTTATGATAATATACACAAATCACCTAATTGAATTAATTCTAAAACACTTAAATTTAGATTTGAGCCACAACATATTGCTTTGGGGCACAGGGGACCATAAGCGGTCCTTTGTACCCCAGTTGCAGAAAATAAATTTAAATTTACCGCCACTCGACTGAATGTTTGTTTACACCTGAGTTAACCAACTTGTTTTTAAGTAAAAAAGTTGTGTTTTAGTGGCTTATAATAAGAAATAACAATACACGCATAATAACGCAATAATCACACTTGACAAAACTATAAAATTTAGCATGGCTTACCTTAAAAGCCAATGTTTTGTTTGCTGCGACTTGCACACTACACGAACATTGCTGTAACTGTCAGAAAAATAAAAGTGCACCTCTAGCTTGCTATTTTTAACAAAATTTAAAAGATGGCGCCACCTGTAACAAAATAAATCGAGTGGACTTATGTGCCCCCGCGGTCCTCTGTGCCCCCTCCTCCCCTATTTTAACCAGCCAAGACAAGACACTAAAAACATTAGACGATCAAAGATATTTTTCCAAGGCTCCTTCATTAAAAATTATTGTTTTTACCACACTCTTGTTTGAAACTTAAAACACTATGTTTTTTAAGCGAATATGTCAAAAGTTATATGATATATCATTCTATTCACAGAGCGTGATTTTCTATCGAATGAAGTAAAAAAAAATACCGATGGTGCCATTTAAAAATCAAAATTTGTAGTCATTTCCT